GAGAACTTGGGTGAGTGTCCCTGAGTGTCATTTCTAAGAGGTGGGGATAGACGGGCAGCTGGCTTTATTATTGGCAGGTCTCTCGTCCATCTGGGGGTCTTTGGCACTCAAACTGTAAATTCCTGCAGGGCCCGGATCTTGCCTGTTCCTATAACCATGGGTTGCAAAGGGCGAGCCTAACTCAGGGTGACCGTGCACCTCATACACCCTATGGGTGCTCCGTGCATTTGCTGAATGAATAAAAACAGGTCTGGCTCTAACTGGCTATTGGAGACTCCACTCTCAGCCCAATAGGCTTCTGTGGGGGTCTCTGGTATTGTGGGGTCCCTGGTGTTATTGTAGAGTCTCTGGGGTGCATACTGGGCTCACTGCTGAGTCCTGGCAGGGGTCTCCCATTTGTTATTTGATAGCAAAGGGGGGTTCACCATTTGTTGAGAGCCTGCTGTTCTAGGATTCAGTTGCATTTAATCCTCATAAGAACCCCGGTGGCACAACGATTAAGCACTCGGCTGCTAAGTGAAAGGTTGGCGGTTCAAACCTACCCTGTGGCTCCGCAGTTGAAAATACCTGACGATCTGCTCCTGTAAAGATTACAGCCTAGGAAACCCTATGGGGAAGTTCTACTCTGTCACAGGAGGTTGCTATGAGTCAGAATCAACTTGAAAGCACCCAACAGCAAGAACCAGCAAGGTTGGCTTTATCCCCATATTACAGCGCAGGAAACTGAGGTTCAGAGAAATGAAGCCACGGGGTCCCAAGTGATACATTAACTTAGCGGAAGTTAAGGATTTGGATCCCCATCTGTCTGTGGTATTATAGACTTTCTGGGGACCAGAAACAAAGGGAGACATCTGGGGGGTGGTTTATGGACACAGGGAAGGGAATTCAGTAAGGAAGGGAGAGACAGACTGGGAGGAGGCAGGAAGAAATGGCATTGTTGGAGTACATCCCAGGTCTCCAGTAAATATTGAATGAATGAATGAGTATGGTGGCATCCTAGATCTAAGTCTGCTTAGGGTCAACCCAGGACTGAAAACCTTCTAAACCTGAGCACGGAGTGGGGCAATGGTTTTCAATTGGAGATGATCTCCCCCACCCCCACCCCAGGGGACACTGGGCAATGTCTGGAGACATTTTTGGTTGTCATGAATAAGGATGGTGGGGCTACAAACATCTAGTGGGTAGAGGCCAGGGATGCTGCTAAACATCCTATAATGCACGGAACAGCCCCCTGGACCATCTTGACAACAAAGAATAATCCAGCCCTAAACATCAATCCGATTGCCCTAGAGTTGAATCTGACTCATAGAACCCTATAGGACAAAGTAGAACTGCCCCATGGGGTTTTCAAGGCTGTCACCTTTACGGAAGCAGACTGCCACATCTTTCTCATGCAGAGTGGCTGGTAAGGAGCCCTGGTGGTGCAGTGGTTAAGAGCTCAGCTGTTAACTGAAAGGTCTGTGGTTCGAACTCACCAGCTGCTCCGAAGAAGAAAGATGTGGCAGTCTGCTTCTGTAAAGATTTACAGCCTTGGAAACCCTATGGGGGCACTTCTACTCTGTCCTATAGAGTTGCTATGAGTTGAATTGACTGGATAGCAACAGGTTTGGTTTAGTTTTTAAATATCAGTAGTGCCAAGGTTGAGAAACCTTGGTGGAGGGGAGGGAGAACTTGGACTTTGGTTCTGATTGGACACCCCCTCAGGCAAGTCAATTCAAACCTCTGTGACTCGGTTTCATCTTCTGTAAAATGAGGATGCAGCCTCTCCCCTGTCCTACCCTCCCTCCCAGGTAGCTGTGAGGAATCTTGCTAAGGAATTGGAAGGTGGCACTGGAGGGAGTGAGGGTGGAAGGAAGTGGCATGAGGAACATGCCCACAGGAGGAAAACACATTGACATAAGAGGTGGTCCCCCAGGGGAGGTAGACTGGGACTCTGTATAAGGAAGAACTTTCTAACAGTCTGTCCAAATACAGACCAGCTTATGTCAGGAGGTGGTGAGCCCCTCATCTCCAGAGGCATTCAAGCAAAGGCTGGAAGAGGACTTACGAAAGAGATGGTCGAGGGGATTCAAAATTAAGATGCGGTCACTGAACTAGATGCCTTGGAGGCTGTGGAATTAGGAGCCTGATAGGAAATTTCAGAAACTCTAGTATGGGTGTTTTGGGAAATAGTGTAGAATCTTGTCCCAGATCAGAGAAAACCAAACCCATTGCTGTTGAGTGGATTCTGAATCATAGCGACCCTACAGGACAGAGTAGAACTGCCCCATAGGGTTTCCAAGGCTGTAAATCTTTACAGAAGCAGACTGCCACATCTTTCTCCTGCTGAACGGCTGGTGGGTTTGAACTGCCAACCTTTCAGTTAGCAGCTGAGTGCTTTAACCAGGGCTCCTTGTCCAGATCAGAGGGCACCAGAAAAATATCTCTGAGACTAGAGAAAAGGCAAAAAAAGGAAACTACCATTTGTTGAGAGCCTGCTGAGCTAAGAGTTGTTCTCATTTAATCCTTATAAGGTGGAGCCTGTGGTTGGTGCAACAGTTAACGCTCTCGGTTGCTAACGGAAAGGTTGGAGGTTTGAGTCTATCCAGAGGTGCCTTGGAAGAAAGGCCTGGCAATCTACTTCTGAAAAAATCAGCCATTGAACACCCTATGGAGTACAGTTGTACTGACACACATGGGGTCGCCATGAGTCAAAGTCGACTCAATGGCAACTGCTTACTGGTTAATCCTTGTAAGAGCCAGCAAGGTCAGCTTTGGCCCCATTTTACAGAGTAGGAGGCTGAGACTCAGAGAAATTAAGTAACACGGTGCAAAGTGACACAGCAAGTTAGAGGAAGTCAGGATTTCAATCTGTGTCTGCCTGGCTTCAACGCCCATGTATTTCTGATTTTGACACTGAACTTGGGAGGAGGTGTGCACAGAAGATGACCTGAACAGCCTCAGGACTTTTCAATTCCTTGAGAAATCAAGGATCTGTGTAAGATGAGGGCTGGCTGCGTGCAATACTCTCTGCCAAGTCTGAGAAGTTAACCACGGAGTCCAGGTGCAAAACCTGCTCCTGGTTCTTGTCAAATAATTAGACCTTCTAGAGCAAGGGGTCTAACCCTTAAGGGGGGCTGTGGATAGACTTCCAAGGGCTTGTGAACTTTGCCAGGAAAAAAAAATATTATGCTTTTATTTTCCTTACCCTCCAACTAAAATGCAATATTTCCTCAGTTAAGTATGTAGGCAACAAACCACACTAGTCTTAGCCAGACCTGTGACTGTATCGCTAATAGAAATCACAGATATTTCCATATAACACACTGTTGTCGTAGATTTCTCGAAATAGTGTTTATGCTTATCATTACTTTCAAATTAGACCAGTTAAGATCCACCGCCAGATCCTGCTGTCTAACGTGCTGACGAAAAAGGCACCCATATTACTATATCACACATTTGCTTTTTAAAAATATTTTGATGATTGTATTCCCATGTAACTGGCTTCCTTTGTAATCTTAGGTATTTTATTTTATGCACTTATAAGCGTTATTCTGAGAAGGACCACACCAGCCTGCCAAACAGGTCCACAGTCCCGCAAAGGCCAAAGAACCCTGCTTCAGAATAAATGGGCGGCCGGCCATTGATGTTGAGTGGGGCTTTCGAGAAGGGGCTGGGGGAGGAGCTAAAGGGCGGGGCTAGAGGGCGGGGTCAGGGCGGAGAAGACAGCTGTCTCCGCTCCACAGCAGGCCTGCTGGGTGGTGTCCGTGCGAAGGGGTACAGTCCAAATGGGGAGGGCCAGCAGCGCTCCACCAGAAGAGCCAGGATCGTAGCTGTACCTTAGGTTTGTTTGCCCGATTGCCTGGCTGAAATCCTGGCTCCCTCTCTGAGGCTCAGTTTCCCCCTCTGTAAATAAGCTCGTAACCTTTTGTACCTCACAGAACTACTCTAAGAAATGAATGAGATAATCCATGTAACACACAATGTCTAAAAACAATAAAACACCGACCGAGGGTTTGCCTCTATCATGGGGGAAAGCAAGTGGAGGGATCATAAGAATTAATATTTTCATAGCATGTTAAGCACCTGTGACTAGGGGCCCGGGCCAGGGGGTTTTCATCCATGACATTGTACCTTCCCAGAGACCCTTAAGGTGGGACAGAGATGGGCAGACAGAAGGGGAACAAGAAAGCATGAGGAGCAGGAATGGAGAATGGGATGAGGAAAAGAGAGACAGGATTTGAGGACAGAATAAGGAGGAAGAGGATAGGTGGGGAGAAGGGGAGGCCTCCAGAATGGGGGGAAGGGAGGGGACCGCCCAGGGATGGTGGTGCCCCTCTAGGGTGGGCAGTCAGCCCAGCCCGGGGGTGGGATTTAGGGGAATTAGATACACTAGGAAGGGTTTGGTGCGACAATTAAGTGCTTGGCTGCTAAGTGAAGGTTGGAAGTTTGAACCCACCCAGTGGCTCCAACTGAGAAAGACCTGGTAAAGATCACAGCCTAGCAAACCCTATGGGAGCAGTTCTACTCTGTCACCTGGGGTTGCTGCTGTGAGTCGGAAGTGCCTCAGCAGCACCCAACAACAAGATCTCTACATGGTTCACCTTCTCACTTCATTCAGGTGTTTGCTCAAACTGCACCTTTTCAGAGAGGCCTTCTTTGACCGCCCTGTCTAAAATAACCCCTTACCCTGTTCTTAGGAGTCCCGGTGGAGCAACGGTTAAGTACTTAGCTAACTGAAAGGTGGGCTGTTCCAACTCACCCATCGGCTCCAGGGGAGAAAGACCTGGCAATCTGCTCCCTAAAGATTACAGCCTTGAAAAGCCAATGGAGTAGTTCTACTCTGTCACATTGGGTTGCTATGAGTGGGAATCGAATCGACAGCACCCAACACAGGAAGCGTTTGGAAAGGAGAAAAGGATGGAGGGTCTGGATTGGCGTGTGCACCCACCCCCCCACCCCCACCCCCCTGCAAGCTCCCTCCCTCTCACACCCTCTGTTTCCCAGGCCGGGCCTCCTACCTCAGCGGCAAAGAAGCCCTTGGGCCGGTGTTTGCCCAAGGATGCCAGGCCACCAGGCCCAGGACTCTCGCTTGCACTGATGGTCTGTTGAGCTGCTGCCAAGATTTCATCCAGTTTGTCTAGGGGAAGCAGGAGAGGGATGGAGGAGAGACAATGAAATGAGTTGGCTTTGGCTTGGACTGGAGGCAGAGCTGCTGGTAGCTCATACAGCGCCTGGTTTGAACCAGACAAAGGCGCCCCTTCCTCCATCCCCGTGGACACGCACCCCGGAGGCCCTGCTTGGAGACAGGAGCTCCCAGCCCAGCAAGCAGGACGAAAGGAGGGTCCCAGAGTGCGGGCAGAGAAAAGGACAAGCCGTTGTGGGCGGGAAGGAGGGTGAAGGGGAGGCAGCAGGGAGGGGTGAGAGGAAACTGTGGGGGAAGGGGAAGAGGCTGTGGGCAGAGGGGCCCTCAGACTGGATGGACTCAGCATGGCTGGGTTATCAAAGTGGTCAGCACAGAGGCTGCTGAGGATGGGCAGCAGAGAAGGGGGGCAGTGGATGGAGTGGGGCATGGGATCCCACAGGGGGCATGGGCAGCCCGGGGAGCAGGGCCAGGGCCGTCTTACTGAGAGCCATCTGATACACGGTCCGTTTTTTCTCCATGCTGGGCATCGGCGCTGGTTGGTGCTCGTACTCTGTGGGCAAAGGACGCGGATGAAGCCCAGGGGCTCCCCGAAGCGGCAGGGCGGAGCGGGCTCGGCCAGTGGGCGTGGCCAACAGGCGAGCGCAAGCGCGAGGGGCCAGGGTGGGGAGGAGGTGGGGTCGGGACAGGGGCCCTCCCGCCAGTCCTGTGCCCACTCACCACTCTTCTTCTTCCAGGGGGAGACTAGCCCGGGGGAGAGGCAGTAGAGGAGCCAAGAGTTAGGATGTGAGGGGGGAGCGAGGGGCCCCTCTCTGGAACTCCCGCCTCCCTCAGGGCCCTAGGGTGGGGGCGGTCAGCTGCCCGACCCGTCCCCTGTCAGGGGAGACCGGACCCCCCAGGTCCACTCGGCTCTGTCTGGAGGGAGTGGCTCTCCTTCCTCTCGGTTGATTGGAGGCGGGGTTGGAGGTGGTGGAGTAGGGTGGGGGTGGGTTTGGTGGAAGGAGAGATGGAGAATGGGGGTGGGGGTGAGGTGGGACCGATGGAGATGGGCTAGGAGGAAGGGGATAGAGCGACCCGCGGAGAGGGACATACACAGACCCCGAGAGAAAGCCCGCCAGAGAACAGAGACACAAGCAGACAGAGGAAAATCGACTCTCAGACACTCCTCCCCAGCGGCGCGCGCACACACACACACACACACACACACACACACACACACACAGGCCAGGGAGAGTCCGACCCATGGATTAGGGGACAGGATGAGGACAAGGACCCCTGGTCACTAACGACACTAACGAACTCGGGGGAAGGCCCACTGTCCCACCTCCACGGCCCCCTCACCCTCCCAGAAACCCGGCCCCTGCAGGCTCACCCATCTCCTCCAGTTCTGAGGTCATGGACTTGGAACGCAGGGAGACGGCCGGGGGTGGGAGCCGCTTCGCCTGCTGGGGTGCTGAAAAATGGGGGGAGGGGCATTCATCAGCTCCCTGGGTGAGAAGCCCCCATGACCCCTCCCTCAGTGCTCCTAGAGCTCAGAAAATAGCCGCCCCCAGGATGCTGAGCCCTCCCTGCCTCAGTTTCTCCCCAGCAGGGTCACAAACAAGCAGCCTTGTTGGGGAAGGGGTGGCTGGAGGTGGGGATTGGCCATTGGGGCTCCTGGGGGGTCTTAGGCTTGTGGCAGCAGGGTTCCTGAGGGTCTGGCCACACTCGTGGGGAGGGGAGGGGCACCTTTCTTGTGGACGGACTCATCCATGTCAGGGTGCCTGGTGACCATCACCACCTTGACCATCAGAGTGTTGCCCCCTTGGCGGATCATGTTCACCACCTGTCGGTGGCCGACCTTCACCACATTCTGCCCATTCACCTGCGGCACCAATGAAAAAATCTGTTGCTGTCAAGTCACCTCTGACTCATGGTGACCCCATGTGTGTCAGAGAAGAACTGCACTCCGTAGGGTTTTCAAAGCTGGGATCTTTCAGAATTAGATCACCAGGCCTTTTTCTTCCAAGGCACCTGAGGGTGGATTCGAATTGCCAAACTTTTGGTTAGTAGCCAAATGCTTAACCACTTGCACCACCCAGGGACTGCATACCTGTGGTACAGACACTCTCAAACCACACCAGGCAGGGGAGGGGAGGGGCTCTTTCAGTCCCAGAGTCCTCAGAGAGGTGGCCTCCCACCCTGCCCTTTCCACGATTCTTTACCACCACTCTTCCCTCCCTCCAACTCTCCACACTTCCACTCTCCCTGTACAGGGCCCACACCTTCCTGTAACCCTGCTGGCTTCTGGGTTGGGGAAGCAGCTTACCCTAACCTAGTCACATATATCTCCCTCTCTGTCCCCCTGTATTGTGCGTTGGGGGAGAGTTCTGGGTAACTCTTTTGAGATCCTCCAAAAAAGGCCTTTATGTGGAATCAATGAAGAAGGTAGAGGCTGACTGGGAGGTGGGCCAGGGCACTGGGAAGCCTGGTGCCAAAGGAGAACGTCTGGGCATCAGGCAGCCTGATCCTGGCACAGATCATGAGGGACCTAGGATTGGTCTCGTGGGTCCCAGGAGAGAGGGGGGTGTCAGAGGCCTCCAAGGGAGCCAGGCAGGCCTGTGGAAGGTGAGCTGGAGGCTGGGGCTTGGAGAGTCCCCCAGGAGGTGTTATGTGCCATCGAGTCGATTTCGACTCATAATGACCCCATGTGACAAAGTAAAATTGCCCCATAGGGTTTCCTAGGCTGTAATCTTTACATATCGCCAGGTCTTTTCTCCCTCAGAGAGGATGGGTGGGTTCGAGTTGCCGACCTTTCAGTTAGCAGTCAAGCACTTAACCATTGAGCTTGGGCTCCTAATAGGTGCTGTGGAGTCGATTCCAACTCATAGCAACCCCACGCGACAGAGTAGAACAGCCCCATAGGACTTCCTAGGCTGTAATCTTTATGGGAGTAGATTACCAGGTCTTTTCAGAAGCAGGTGGCCAGGACTTTCTTCCAAGGCACCTCTGGGTAGGTTCGAATTGCCAGCCTTTCTGTTAGCAGCCAAGTGCTTAAACGTTATGCCACCAGGGCTGGAACTTACCTCAATGAGGAAGTCTCCCATCCGAAGTCCTGCTCTCCAGGCCACGCCACCCTCATCCACTGACTCCAGGTACTGCAGCGCCGGGAAGGCCGGGGTGGGGGTGAACTCCTCGATGGGGGTCTGCGCTGCAGATGGGGAGGAGCCGGCGGGGTCGGAGGGGAGGGGGTGGAGAGGCCGAGCAGGGGATGGGGCTCAGACCCAAGTCACAGAGTCCTCACCGTAGCTGAGGGACCAGCACCTCGGGGGGTGGGGTGGTGGGAGGGCTGGGGTCCCTTCCCTTCCCCTTTCCATGACCACTTTGGCCCTGCTTCCTTTTCCCATCCCCTCCCCAGCCGGCACTCACCCTTGGCCCCCCGGAGCACGAACCCAAAACCCTCGCTGTCTTTCTTCTGTAACAGGACTGTCTTCTCCTTAATGATGTAATCGCTGGTGGCAGGGGAGGGGAGGGAAAGGGGGAAAGAGGAGGAGGGGCAGGGCAGGGTGGAGAAGGGATCATGAGACTCAGAGCCTGTGCCCCACCCGCAGCCCAATGACACCGGAGAAGCCCCAGCTCCAGCACCACTCATGGCACCTTTTGGGATCTTTGTCACCCACTCCCTGTGCTCAGAGCATCCCTGACAGGCCTCCCCCTCAGAGCTCAATGTGTGCTTTCTCCCACTCACTCTCTCATTCATCCATTGGTGCATCCATCCACCCATCCATTCAGCAAGCAGCTACCCAGCCCACTGTGCACCAGGCACCGTGAGGGACCAGGGAGATGAGCTGCCAGATTCGGAGGCAGTCTGGCTCCAGGCCCCACTGGCCACTTCCTGTCTGTGACCTTGAGCCCATGATTTTCATCTTTAGTGCCTCAGTTTCCTCATTTACAAAAACAAAGATCAAACCAGTTGCTATGGAGTCAACTCTGACTCACAGAGACCCCATGTGTGTCATAGTACAACTGTGCTCCACAGGGTTTTCAATGGTTGATTGTTTGGAAGTTATGTTGCTAGGCCTTTCTTCTGAGGTGGCTCTGGGTGGACGTGAACTGTGAACCTTTCATATAGCAGTCCATCACTTAACCGTGTGTGCCATCCAGGGACTCCTATAATGGGGCACAATACTAGACCCTACTAGATGCAGATGATCTAAGACTTTGGAGGGCTAACATACATATGACATAGTAAGAGCTCAATAGGATTCATTTGCTGTTCTTAAGTCAAAGTATTTTTAAGACAGAAGGACACACATACTTCAATAATACCCCTTCCCACTCTTTGTTGTTGTTGTTAGAGCTGCCATCGGGTTGGCCCCCTGAATCATGGCGACCTCATGTACGATGGGATCCGACCGTTCTGATCGTGGCTGATTTGTGGAAGTACATCACGAGGTCTTGATCTGGAAGCTCCGCTGAAACCTATTCAGCATCATAGCAACACACAATCCTCCAATGACAGATGGGTGGTGGCTGTGCTTGAGGTATATTGGCCAAGAATCAAACCCAGGTCTCCAGCTTGCTTGGAAGGCAAGAATTCTACCACTGGACCACCACTGCCCTCTCCAACTTCTTTACCATATATATAGATATAGAAACCCATTGTCTTCGAGTCGATTCCAACTCACAGCGACCCTATAGGACAGAGTAGAACTGCCCTATAGGGTTTTCAAGGAGCGGCTGGGGGATTCGAACTGCTGACGTTTTGGTTAGCAGCCAAGCTCTTAATCACTGTACCGTGCTTATTCTGCACTGTTCAACATGGTAGTCACTAGTTACGTGTAGCTCTTTTATATTGAAATTAATTAGAATTAAATTTAAAGACTCAGTTCCTCTGTCTCACTAGCCACATTTCAAAGTGCCCAATAGCCACGAGTCGCAAGTGGCTACCACACTTCACAGCACCCATACAGAACATTTCTATTGCCACAGAGAGTTCTGTTAGACAACACTGACTTATACATCCTCTGCTATATCTCAAATGCATCTCCTTCATGCAGTCAGTATATTCTAGTAAAATGCAATCTACCTGTGCGTATGCTGATAAAAAACCCAAAACCAAGCCAGCTGCCACTGAGTCGATTCCAACTCATGGCGACCCCATGTGTGTCAGAGTATAACTGTGCTCCATTGGGTTTTCAATGGCTCATTTTTCAGAAGTAGATTGCCGGGTCTTTCTTTTGTGGAGCCTCTGGGTGGATTCAAACCAACAACTTTCTGGTTATTAATCGCATGCTTAACTGTTTCCACCACCCAGGGACTGCTGTATATGCTGATAAACCCATTGCTGTTGAGTCGATTTCAACTCACAGCGACCCTACAGGACAACGTAGAACTGCCCCATAGGGTTTCCAAAGAGCAGCTGGTGAATTCAAACTGCTGACCTTTTGGTTAGCAGCTGAGCTCTCAACCACTGCGCCACCAGGGCCCCCCATATGCTGATAGTCCCCAGTAAAACCAGCAGCACATTTAGGTAATGCTCACATAGCCAGGAAACTTGCGTTAAATTCAAGTGCATTCCCTTTCACGGAAGAAAGATGTGGCGGTCTGCTTCCGTAAAGATTACAGCCTTGGAAACCCTGTGGGGCAGTTCTACCCTGTCCTATAGGGTCGCTATGAGTTGGAATTTGTTTTTGGTTTGGCATTCCTTTTACCTCAACACCCATCAAGTTTGCTCGAATAACAGCACAAACCCCGACACCACCACTGTACACCTCAGGAATACACACCCATTCTGTGCCTGGAGCATCCACTACCTCAGTATAGGAGGAGTCCCTGAGTGGCACAAATGAGTCTGCTAACCAAAAGATTGGAGGTTCGAGTCCACCCAGAGGCACCTCAGAAGAAAGGCCTGGCAATCTGCATTCAAAAAGTCACAGCCACGAAAACCCTGTGGAGCGCAGTTCAACTCTGCACCTATGGGGTCTCCGTAGGTTGAAACTGACTGACGACAAATGGTAAAAAAAAAAAAAAAAAAGAAAGAAAAAAGAAAAAGTATAGGAGAGGAATACCCAAACACTGGCTCCAACCCCACTTCCTCTGTAATACTGGGAACACCCAGGAGACACCAACATACTTGCCCTGTTGTGCCTTAAACATCCACCAGCAATGTCTGAAACCTGTCCCACTACACACTTGCAGTGCCTCCACTCCCCCAAAATCTAGTGTACTTTCACATCCAGACCCCATGGCATATCCCAATAATATCCAGGCTGCCCTAATACACTCCAATAATAGCCAAAAGTGCTCCCCGGTGCACTCCAATTACCTGCCCCCACAGATTCAGCAAAACAGCCCTCCACAAATACTCCAGTATCTTTCAGCAACACCCCCACACACCCCAGTATGCTTCAATAATAACTCCCCCTCACTCTGATCTCAGTGTATTCTCATAACACACCCCCTGAACACTTCCCAGCGCAAACCAATAATACCTCACATGCTCCTACTGTATCTCGGCACTACCCCCTACAAGCACCCCTGTACACGTCCATGCCCCCCACAACTCTCATTGTAAAATCCACCCTTTTCTACCAGAGCGACAGTGTTCTGCATGTGTGCCTGTATTCCTAAGCGTATCCCCACCTCCTTATACCTCTGTGTGCTCAATGCACAGGCGCACACACATACATACCCCAACAATGCCCTTGTCCAAAGTTTAAGCCCATTGCTGTTGAGTGGATTCCAACTCAGCGACCCTATAGGACAGGGTAGAACTGCCCCATAGGGTTTCCAAGGCTGTAATCTTTATGGAAGCAGACTGCCACATCTTTCTCCCGCGGAACGGTTGGTGGGTTCGAACCACCCAACCTTTTGGTTTGCAGCTGAGCATTTAACCACTACGCCACCAGGGCTCCTGTGCAAAGTTTAGCATGATCCAATAAACACATCCCCACCATACAAGCCATGCCATGCTACCTCTGATCTTATATCCAATGCAGAGGGCGGCCCTCTTTGTAGCTGGGTGGAGGGGTGTTGGGAGAGAAAGAAGGAAGGGGTTGTTGAAAGGGATGAATGAAGGGGATAAATGGAGATGAGGAGGGAGGAAGGGGGCCAAGAAGGTTGAACAGTGAGTGGTCAGGGTCAACAGATTGGATTCAGAGGTCAGAGCTGCCTGCTCCCGACCACACCATCTGTGCCGCCCACCACTGTGCCACCACATACCCCTACAACCTCCTCCAACTCCCCATGCCCTTGTTGTTGTTGCTGTCGTCAAGTTGACTCAACTCATAGCGACCCTATGTGACAGAGTAGAGCTTCCCTGTAGGGTTTTCTAGGCTGTAATCTTTATGGGGGAGCGCTGGTGGTGCAATGGTTAAGAGCTCAGCTGCTAATGAAAAAATCAGCAGTTCGAATCCACCAGCCACTTCTTGGAAACCCTATGGGGCAGTTCTCTTCTGTCCTGTGGGGTCACTGCGAGTCAGAATCAACTTGACGGCAACAGGTAATCTTTATGGGAGCAGATCGCCAGGTCTTTCTCCCATGGAAATGCTGGGTGGGCTTGAACTGCCAACCTTTCTGTTAGCAGCTGAGCGCTTTACTGTTTGCACCACCAGGGCTCCTCCTTATGCCCTTGCTACCCCTATTCAAGTCTTCAGCCCCCTCCCAGCAGCCCCATTTTCCTTCATTTATGCCACAAACCCCAACCATTCCCACATCTGTCCCCCTGGACTCTTTCTCTCACCCCACACCTTCCCTATATCCTGTAAATAAAAACCCAAACTAAACCAACTTGTTTCTGCCAAGTGGATTCCACCCTATGGTGACCCCATGTGTTACAGAGTAGAACCACCCCATAGGGCTTTCTTGGTTGTAATCTTTACATAAGCAGTTCACCAGACTTTTCTTCTACAACAAAGCTGGGTGGGTTTGAACCACCAACCTTTAGGTTAGCAGCTGATCGCAAACTGCTTGGACCACTCAGGCCCCTATCTCCATAAATAAGCCCTCCCCAAATACCCTGTCCCCCAGTATAGTTCAATAAAATTCCCATCTCCATTCTACACCAAGAAAAAGCACTTGCTATATGCTGGACAATATCTGAAGCACTTCACAGGTAAATAGCTCAATTGTCTCCTTACAACCAATCTCTGAGGTAGGTATCATTACTATGTCCACTTTACCCAGTGGCCATCGCCTTGACTCGGACTCGTGGCGACCCCACGTGTGTCAGAGTAGAACTGTGCCCCATAAGGTTTTCAATAGCTGATTTTTCAGAAATAGATTGCCAGGCCTTTCTTCCGATGCATCTCTCGGTGGATTTGAACCGCCAACCTTTTGGTTAGTAGCCGAGCACTTAACTGTTTGCGCCACCCAGTGACAGGTGAGGAAACAGGCACAGAAATGTTACATGACTTGCCCAAGGTCACACAGTAACGCTCTTTAAGAACATCCAAGAAAACACCTGGATAACTACAGCAATACCCTCCACTCCCAGCACCCCAGTACCTCGAACACATATACATCAGGGTGAAATCCACCCATGCCCTCTCGCACCAGACATTATTCCAGGTTATGCCAAGAACACAACAAACAGCAACCAATAACAATTACTAAGCTTTTGCTGAACGCCAGCCACCATTTCAAGCACTTTACATTTATTTAGTCATTTAGTCCTCAAAACAATGCTGGGAGAGATTGACTGTGATTGTTCCCGTTTTACAGGTGAGGAAACTGAGGCCCAGGGAATGAACTGGCTCAAGACCACACCAGCTAGAAAAGTGTCAAAGCCAAAATTCAAACTTGCCACAGGCAACCCATATATCCCGATCATGTTCAAACACCCCTAGATCATCACAGAGTCCCCTTCTGCCCCTCCTCCACAAACCACTCATCTGGTGCATGCCCCCTCTCTCCTCCTTCCCCCCCCCAATCCCCAGTGGGTATATGGTGTCGCTTTGCCCTGTCACATTCTCCCCAAACTTCCAAACTGCTCTCTTGCCCACAGCTTCCTGCAGCTCTACTTCCTGTCCCCCACTCCTGTAGGTGTCCCCCTCTTTTCTCTTGCACCTCTATCCCTGCTCCTCTATGTCCTCTGGAAGCTCCACATGGCCCTAACCCACCTCCATGAGCCCTCACTTCTGAAAGCCCTCCTCGTACCCCACGAGACCACCTTCCCACCATCCATGTTGTCCTCATACACCCCTCAGCTTCACCACATCCTCAGCATCCCCCCTCAAAGTCCTCCTCAGACTTTTGGGACCTCCTCACCCCTCCAATGCCCACCTCTCCCCCCTCCACTGGCCTCATTCCTCCTATTTCCTTTTCACCGCTCCATAACCCCACTGTGCCCCTTTAAAGCCCTCCTAGTTCCCTTCATACTCCCCGGCCTCCCCCCCCCCCACAAACACAATTCTCATCCGTGGAAACCTCTTCCTACTTTTGCATCTTCAATTCTCTTCCTTGCACACCCGTCTGCCTCCTCTTACTTGCAGCTGCATTTCATTTACATTCCCCAGTCCTCTCTCCATCCTGCCCAAATCTCCACCCCCAAATCCTCTCCAGCTCTCCTGTATTCTCTCCCTACCCATTTCTCTTCTCTGCACACTCCGTGCACTACTCCCTCCCCACATGCACCGCTATCCCCTCCTCCCCCTGCATGGGCCCTGCTCAGGAGGCCCCCCCATTCATGCCCAGTACTGCTGACGACCTGCCCTGCTGGAGCTCACCCAATGTTCATGCCCAGACCACCCTTAGGGGGCCCTGCGCGGCCCCTGGAGCCCAGCAGCCAGCTCTTGTTCCCACACAGGGTGACTGCAGCAGCATCCATTCCCCCCACCCCCATCCAAAGTCCCTCTGCACCCCCAGGGTCCCACAGTGCAGAGCCTGCTGCTGCACACGGCACCCCTTTGGTACTCAGCCCCTTTCCGGGTGCTCCTCTGCACAGGCAGTCCCAGAGGCCCTAACGCAGAGAAGCCAGCCCCTCTTCATGCTAAGAAGTAGCACAGACATGCAGCCGCAGCTACCCATGCAAAGCTCTGCCGTGGCTCTGCACACGTGCTCCATGCAGCCAGAGGACAAGGCCAGCAGCTCAAGTGCCCACACAGGCACAGACCCCCTGGGGGCAGGGAGAGGGGCACCCTGGGACAGACACACATGGAGGGATTGGGGTGCGGGGGAGGGGAGCACTTTGGGGGAGGGGACAGGCTTGGCACGGGAGGGTGGGTGTTAGGAAATACAGCCGCAGTCTCTGGGACACATCCACTCCATCTCTCTCTCTCTCTCTCTCTCTCTCTCTCACACACACACACACACACACACACACACGCCCCCAGACAGCCCCACCGTGGGTCGCTCCAAGTCACACACAGAGACAGACACTGTCAAACAGGGATACACAGATGGGCCCAGCTCAGGGGGGTGGGCTAGGAGCCCACCACCTCTCTGTGTCTCTCTCTCTTATACACACACACACACACACACACACACACACAGCTGCAGGCAGTCTCACACACACGCACATTGACACAGCCACACTGACACACGCACAGTGACACGCAGCGGAAAACGGGGAGGGGAGGCCGGGGGCGGGATGTGTGTGACGGAGGGGGGGGGCGATGACTATGAATGGAGAGAGGGGTATGAATGGGGGGACTTGCCAACTCCGTGAAGGGGTGTGGGGCTATAGGGTGCAGAGGGGCAGGGGCCGGGGGTGTGGGCGCCTGAGAGGAGGTCAGTGTGGCTCCCGAGGGGCAGGGCTCCCCAGAGTGGGGGCGCTGAGGGCGGCAGAAAAGGCGAATGGGTTCTGAGACCCGGAGTGGGGTCCATATGAAGGGCCTGACTGGAGGGAGGGCTGAGGGGATCTTGGAAGGACCTGTGGGGAGGTAGAAGAAAGATTCCCAGGGCCGGAGAAGTGTAGGGGGGGTGGCGTGGGGAGAGGGGCCCAGAAACGCGGATGGAGAGGAGGGTTGAGAAGAGGGGTCTGGAAAGGGTTTAGCGCTGAGAGAAGGTTAGGGGCGACAGACGAAGGGGGGCGTCTTGAGGGAGGGGGAGGACCCCCAGGGGTGGGGGATTCTCGGCGTGGGAGGGTCGTTACCGCGGGCCGGAGCCGCCGGGCCAAGGAGAAAGGGGGTGGCGCGCTCCGTTACCTGTAGATGTACCAGACGCTGCGCCGCCGGGGCCCCAGGGCCGGCCAGCTGGAGGAGAGCGCGGGGGCCGACTGCTGCGGGGAGCCCCCACCGGGGCCACCC